CAGTGACACTACTGACACAGTGTAAGAGAACAGTTACAACTGGGTGGATCAGTCACAGAAATCTAAGGTAAAGTTAAAGTGTGTTGTTCATCTGGGTGATGAAGACCACTTTCATCTAAAGTAGTTAGTAGTAGTAGTGATGAATGATTATGAGTACTAAGGTGGCTGGTTAGGTAGTCCAATATGAGCCAAGAAAGTTCTTGAGCAGTGCGGACAACAGATGGAAGCTGCAGTAAGGATAGAATTAGCAGTGAGTACGATTCTTTCTTTACCTGTGCAACCTCCGCTGCCTGCAGGTCGATGCACCATGCCTGAGGGACGTATGACATCCAGAACTAATAAAGGCATGATGAATGATGCAGTATGTGGTTTTGAATGACAATGAATGGGTCCAGACATGTTCATGTTGAATGCAGATGAATGTCAGTACTCAACACGAATTGCTTATTCAGCAGCGCTGAATAAAAACAAATATGCTTCAAAAGGTGCCGGTACTGCTTACTGCCAGCTGAAAAAAAGCCCTGGGTCTAAGAAATTAAAATAATAAGATGGAAGATGAAGAGTTAAAATAAGAAATATGGATAGGACACATGAATTTGCAAAATATGTATCAGGTCTCTGGAAAAACAAAAAGTAAATGTTGTATTATTACTTAGTACTAAATGAACCAATAAACTTTATTCCAATCATATTATGTTCATATATTAAAATTCTTAGTATGAATGTCATTTAAAAACACAAAAGCAGGGATGAAAAATGCATGCCTTCAAATTTACATGCAGGCAGAAAACAAGTGAGGTAGTAGACAGACACAAAACACTCACATATACACTCTTACAAACACGGTGGTGCCTACACTGACAGTACACACACACACACAGATACAATACATACCCACACACTAAACACACACCAGCCCAACATATACAAACAGGGAAAACACATACACACTGGTCACACACGTTCACATTTGAATCAGTTTTTATGAGTTACGGAGCCATAATGTATCTATTTTTATTGCTGCTTTCGTTCCCGTTTTAGGATGAAATTCTTAAAGCGGCTGTTATGAAATATGGCAAGAACCAATGGGCACGAATTGCTTCTTTATTACACAGAAAGTCAGCCAAGCAGTGTAAAGCTAGATGGTAAACCACAGTGTTGTTGCGGCTGTAATTGTTTTTATTGTTTCTAGTTAAAGGTTGTACCACTAATACTTCTTTTTCGTGCTCAGTGGCTGTAGACTGGTTGTTTTTCCACATCTAGACTTTTAGTCTTGTTCAGAACCTGAAATTTGCGTGCACATCCGTTTTATAAATGTGGCTTGTTTTTATGCAGACTGTTCATTCCTTATCTCTCGGGTAGGTGCGCTTCAGCTTCATCAAAAACATCCCTTATAAGTTGACTCTTGCAACATGATTGATAGGGCAGCAGGTCTATTCAATTTTTATTTCCCACAGTCAGGCTCCGGAACCCACAGGGGGGTACCTATATACTTCTTCTTCAGCATTCGGAGCCCTTGAGGTGCATTGCTGCAGATATTCGCCTCCACTCATCACTCTTGTTGGCTTTCTCTTTCCAGTTGGTAACACAGACTGTTTGCAGGTCTCTCTGGATATTATCTCTCCATAATTTTCTTGGTCTGCCTCATGGTGTACGACCATTCATCTCCCCCGTGTGTACTGATTTGTCCTTTCTGTCATCATCTGATATTCTCTCTATGCCCCACCTACGTACGAAAAAGATAAATTCTTCTGCTGTTGCTGCTTCTTCTAGTAATTACATCGTTCATTTTTATGCCATCAGAAATATTCAAGTCATGAATTCAAGCATTTTCTAGACCTCATTTTTCCTCCTTCTCATTTTTCACACTCCTTTTATTCTTCTCTTCTGCTTTTAACCATATCTGATGTTTATACCATCAGATACATTCAAATGATGAACTCTGCCATTTTCTATATGCCTTCATCTTTTTTACCATCTGTATCCTGTTCTTCTTCTGCTGCTGCCTTTTCATCTTATACAAACATTTGATGCACTTCATCTTTTTACAAACACTTGATGTACTTTATTTTACAATTGATGCATTTTATCTTTTCCACACTTTGATGCACTTTATCTTTTATGAATATTTAATGCATTTCATTTTATAAAGTCATGTGATGCACTTTTTACAGACTTCATAAACACTTTATGTTTTTACAAACATTTGATGCGCTTTATCTTTACACACACATGTTGCAGTTAATTTTTTTACAGAAACTTGATGCACTTTATTTTGGAAAATTCATCATGCTCTACTTTTATCTTTTATCACAACACATTTATCGTTGTAAAGCATGTGATGCTCTTTATCTTTCCATTATGCATTTAGTTTACCATTGAAAGCATATTGTCATATGTGCTGAGTGGGTTTACAGGCACTGTTTCATCGTAATGTGCTTTCGCTGTCAGATTCATATGGCAGCTGCCACTTTTTGAAACACTGCTCATTTATTTCCTAGGTACGAGTGGCTGGATCCAAGTATCAAGAAAACAGAATGGAGCAGAGAAGAAGAGGAAAAACTGCTGCATCTGGCCAAACTTATGCCAACACAGTGGAGGACAATAGCCCCCATCATTGGCAGAACCGCAGCCCAGTGTTTGGAGCATTATGAATATCTGCTGTATGTAATAGTAATCACCTTTGATATGCAACACTTTCTGTTATGTTCCTCTTTCATTACAGATTGTAATTCTTTGGGTGCTTTATTAATATCCTACCCCAAACAGGGGAAATCCACAGGTCACGGGACAGTCTAATATTTCAGCGGGTGGAAGATAGGCTCCATGCAGTCGTGGGACATGGTGGGTTGGGGTCAGGGCCAGTTCTAGATGTTTTGGGGTTGTTAAAAGCATCAGAAAGCCGGGAAAACCCAGTCTTACCACCCTCTAAAATTTTGGACTGTCCTGTGATGTCATCTGGGGTAGGATATTAATAAGGAACCGTTCTTCGAGCTTTAATCCTTTCGCCCTGGGAATACTTAAAAATCTAGGTCATGACCTCATAAGAATTCCAGAACATCGTTAAAATATGTGTTTGTCTTACATTTTAAACTATTTTTCAAAATATTTAAATATATATGAAAGGAATAATAAACATAAACATGGTGAAGCATTAAATGGAATACATTGGCCAGAACCTTGACAACACATGTGTATTGGATGTGGTGACCTCCATCACTGAGGCTAACAAGAAAATCTGACCTCAGCTAGGCTTTGAAACAGCCATTTAGTTCAATTAAAATGTTAGTTAATATAGTCATGTCCTGACCTCCTAAACATTTGTGCAAACACAAACTCAGCCAATAGCAATAACTATGCATCTTGTAACCAGGTCACTTTAGACAGTTTGGAAAAAGTGACATCTAAGGGCAATAAAACCCAACAAGGAGTCTGGGTTTTTAGCTTCTCAAAGCGAAAGGTTAATACTTCTGCTTTTTTGTCGCTAGAAAATTTTTCTGGAATCTTCTCGCATCTGACGTGACTTAGAGTTTCTATCACCCAGACGTGTTGTAAATATTTGTGTCAGAGTCCTCAACTTACAGATACGTGAACTTGTGTGTTCTTGTTTGTGATTGTATCACTGTCTGTTTTGGTTATGTGCTGATGAGAAATTTCTAGCATTCATTTTGTCAATCATTAGTATGATAATGTGAATCTGACCAGTTCTGTACCTTGTTAATAGGGAGGGGTAAGCAGATTGGTGCCTCTCATTTGGAGGGGAATTTTCGATCTGATAAGATGAACATACTTTGAAAAAGCTCCAGCTGACGAGCCGTGCTGCTGGTGTCACCAGGTCGGGCTAACGTTGCATTAGCGCAGCGGTTCTCAAAGAAGAAATAAAGTTTTCGACAGTGGCGAGGGAAGACAACTTTAACTTTAAAGTATCTACAAGCCTTCTTTAATAATTTCAAAACTTTTTAGCAGAGTTTTCTTGATTATTGCCGCGGCACTCCTGGCACGTGCTCAAGGCACCTGTGGCACAAAGTTCAAGAACCGCTGCTTAAACACATCGTTAGCCCGACCCGGTGACGTCAGCAGCAGAGACTTCAGCTGGAGCCGGTCGTTATTAGAATCAGTACCTGTTTAGGCTTCAAGGAGTTAACAATGTCTGCTTGAGAGAACTCAAAATGCAAAAACCAAATAGGTGTTTTTTTGATTTTGTTGCCAATAATATCATCAGTACAGTACTCTTTGTTGGCTATTGATGAAGGAAACAGGGCACATGGGGAAATGTCCCAGGTGTCCTGATGTCATTTCTTTACTCATTCATCTGTTGGGATGCATAGGTACCAAAACACACGTTTGTGCTGCAGACCTGGGGTTCACAGTGGTCAACCCCCGTGTGGGTTCCGGGGCCCCATTGTGGGGAAAAACAAGAATAGACCCACTGCCTCTCCAAAAGCATGTCGTAAAAGTCGACTAATTGGGGAGCTTCCTTTGAAGTTGGAGTGCATCTGCCGGAGAGGCAAGGAACCAACAGTCCGTATTCAAGAGAATGAGATCTGTAAACCTGATGCACACGCAACACCCAGGTTCTGGAGCAGGACTGCAGTTCAGTAGTGGATGAGCAACCAGAACCTTCCGCCAGAGTTTACAGCTGGTGAACGTGAAGAAGATGAAGAAGAACAGTGGTCAAGACTACACCTGTTCACAGTGAAACAGGTTTCCAAGCAGGGTCCGGCCAGCATAAACAGGACTGAAATTTCCTTCAAAGTCTCCATGTTTGTTCGGGGGCCCCACTGTTGGGAAAAAAAAAGAATAGGCCTGTGAACTCCGGCAGAAAGTTCTAGTGGTTCATCCACCACTGGACTTTAATCTTGTTCCAGAACCTCACTTGCGTGCACATCCATTTTACTTTACTTATCTGACTTATTTGTATTGCAGTCTGTTGGTTATTTGCTTCTCAGGCACATGTACTTCAACTTTGATGGAAGCCCTAAGTTAGTCAGCTCTTACAACATGCTTGTTGGGTAGCGGTGGGTCTATTCTTGTTTGATCAGATCCTTTCTGTTGAGTTTTCATTGTTATCCTGTTACCCTGTGGTTAAAACTTTCCTTTTCCTTTTGGATGACAGTGACAAGGCCCAAAACAGGGAGGCTGACAATGAGGATGATCCCAGAAAACTCAAGCCAGGAGAGATTGACCCTAATCCAGAAACCAAACCAGCCAGACCTGATCCAGTGGACATGGATGAAGATGGTAATTACCATCGTAGTACTTTGTAATTTCCCTGTAATACTTTGTAATTTCCCTGTAATACTTTGTATTTCCCTGAAATACTTTGTATTTCCCTGTAATACTTTGTAATTTCTGTTGTAGTACTTTCTAATTTCACTAGTGCACCTTGTAATTTTCATCTATCCATAATCTTTCTCTAACTCTTTGTCCAGAAGTCGACAAACAACCAGAATTCTCTGTATTTTAACACACACACTCTCTCTCTGTCTCCCTTTTTCTCTCGAAGTAAAATGGGCGACACAGCAAATGCCTAAATATATTACACATCCCTAAACCTAGAATAGACTTGTACAGAACAAGCTTGGCGTACTCTGCGGCTCCTCTGTGGAACCAGTTTCCACCGCCAATATCAACAACCCCTATAAATACAATTGGAAGCTTTTTGTAAATTGTTCTCACTTCAGACTACATGCTTCTTTACAAGATAATAGTCTCCTAAGCAAATTGTTGATTTCCACCAACATTTAGTTTACTTAGTAATATAAGTGTTTTAAAATGTAAGTATGCTAGAGCACGTTGTAACTTAGATGTAGATGATGTCTATTATTTTTATAATTATTAAATCATAATCAGCTAAAACTATGTGAAAACTGCTGATAGAGACGTCTGGCAATCTCTCTGGCAAACCTCTACACCCCAAGGTAGAAGAGGAGTGACTAAGTAAGTAAGTAAAACTATGTGTGAATGAAATAATATATGCACACAGTAAGGGCAGAATGTAAAATGGCCTTTATATCCACTTCTTAATCCTTTGAAAATATAGTTTGTTCGTTCGTTCTCTCTTCTGTTTCTCTCGCTCACAAACTCTCAGACCCTTGCCCATGTCAGTCAGTAACAAGACACTTGATGATGATAAGAGTTGATCAAACAGCTGCCAGGTTTCTGTCTTCTGTGTGGTCAGCATTGGATACTCTGACTGCTGATCAGTACATTGGGTACCAGCTATCTTTTAGATTTATTTGGCAATTACAAGAGAGGTCACTCTGAATATAAAAACTGGTGCCTATAATCCTGTGCCAGCATTCACCATAGCAATACTATTACTTTGTATGATCCTTTATCTGCTAAACTTGTGTTTCAGAGCTTGAGATGCTTTCTGAGGCCCGAGCTCGACTGGCCAATACACAAGGCAAGAAGGCAAAGCGTAAAGCCAGAGAAAAACAGTTGGAAGAAGCCAGGTATTGTTATTTAATTGAGATTTTGATTATCGTTCTTTCATGGGCTGGGGGGGGGGGTTTGAATCACCCCCCCCCCCCCCCCCCCCCTGTGGGTTTCATGTTTTGGGGCAAGAAGAGAATAGACAACTTCCTTTCTAACAGGCCTGTCGTACAAGGCAACTAAAAATGGTTTTGCTGAGATTGAATGTGTTTGGTCGAAAGGTGCAGATATCACAGCCTAGCTTAAACCACTACACAATGTGCCAGAGATATACCAGTCATTCACACCAGCTAGTTTCTGGGTGAGGCAGAAGAAGTGTTTCTCTGAAATTCAACCTAGATTATAATTGGTAGTGAAAGTCACTAATGCATTGTTTCCTTATGTGGGCATTTAGATTGTTATGTGTTTGGGGGGGGGGGGGTGGAAGTTTGATTTTTATGGGGACATTCCAGTGTTTCCCAATGTGGGCAGTTAGATTGTTATGGAAAGGGGGAGGGGCAATTTTGATTGTTATGGGGGACAATTTGAAAATGGTTTGAAAATGAGTTTAAGTATTATGTATATCTAACTGTCAACCTTCCCTTGATCTGTAGAATGAATTTCCTAAATGCAACATCAGTTGGTTAAACCTAACTGCGAGGCGACCGGATGACGAACGGCTTGTGGTAAGGATTAACGCCCCAGGGGTAGGCAGAAAAGCCACATTTCTCCCAGATTTACGCATCTCTCATGGAATCAAGGCCGAAGGGTTGCGATATCCATAGTACTGAGCCAAAATTTTTTTGAATAATTCATTTCTAATTGCAGTGTTTGTTCTAGAAACACACTGTAGAGGTTCCGGGACCACATAGTGTGAAAGAAGGGGGGGGAGGGGTATAGACCTGCTTTCCTTCTAACAAGCATGTTGTAAAAGGCAACTAATTTAGGGATGTCTCCATTGAAGTCGGAGTGCATCTGCCTGAGGGGCAAGGAACCAGCACAATGAATGCAGATAAGCCATGTCTGTAAAATGGATGTGTATGCAAAACTGAAAAAAATTTAAGTGCAGAAGGACTAACAGTCAGAACTTTCACCCAAAGTTTACAGCCAACTATCTCTTTTCCTACTTGTGTGTATACAAATACAGTTACTGTCATTTTATTGTACGAGCCACTTTTTACTGTTTTCTTGGTTATCAGATATCAGTCCAGTTTCTTTCGTGGGTGTGCAGTGTCAGGATTCAAACCTACATAGTGACTAAATAAGTGTGTATCCACATGGGGTTGGCGGCAGTTGGTTTACAGCCGGTGAATGCTAAGAAGTTTCAACTGTTTAGGCGAGATATTTATTTCATAATTTCTATTTTTCAGACGTTTGGCTGCATTACAGAAGAGAAGGGAGTTGAGGGCAGCTGGCATTGCGTAAGTTGCACTAAATTTTTTTTCAAAAGCTGTTTTCTGGGCCTGCTGTACAAAACGAAACCAAAATAGTATCTATAGCTTTGATTTCTTCATAACCATTATTATTCTATCCTATTTTTGTATGCACCTGCAAACACTTGGTGTTACCAACTGGAAAGAAAAGGCCAACCAGAGAGATGAATGAAGGCGGGGGATATCTGCAGCAATGAACCTCAAGGTCTCGGAATGCTAAAGAAAAAGATTTTTGTATATGAGCTTAGTTAGTTAGTTAGTCTTTCCTCTTGTGTCGAGTGCGGCACATAGGGCAGAGGTCATGACTCTCCATGCATGGCGGTTCGTTGCAATCCGTTGTAGGTCTTGGATGTTTGAGTGGCCCATGAGCGAGCCTTCCCTGATGATAGTTCTACGTAGGGTTTCCCTTGGTCTTCCACGAGATCTTTTCCCCTGTGGTGTCCAAATGAGTGCTTGGTAAGGAAGTCTTGATTTATCCATTCTAAGGGCGTGGCCGACATAGTTCCAGCGGCGTTTTCGTATAAAATTAGACACATACTCTTGCCTGGATTCTTGCCTTATTTGTGTATTTGTTCGGAAATCTGACCATTTGAAATTTAGTATTCTTCTAAGGCATTTATTTTCAAAACTGTCTAATTTTGTGTCAAGAGTTTTCGTTGATTTCCAGCTCTCGCATCCATAGGTTAGTACTGGAATCACACAAGAATTGAAGATCTTGAGTTTTGTGTGTTTGCTAAGTGTCTTTGATTTCCAGATGTTAGACAGTTTATTGAAGGCACTAGATGCCAGTGCTAGCTATTCTAAATGGTATTTCTGGTGCGGTATCTCCTGTAGATGACATCTTGCTCCCTAGATAAGTGAAACTGTTGACTTTTTCAAGGCTGTTGTTGTTCAGCGTGATATCAACTGAACTGTTGGTAAAGTCTAGAATTTTTGTTTTTGTGGTGTCAATTTGGAGTATATGAGCTACTCATCATAATTTTGATATTATCATTTCGTTAACGGGGGAGGGGGGATCAGAATTAATGTCCTGGGATGTAACGGCAGCTGACGTGATGTTGACCACATGACTCGTAAAGTGATGGTTGGTCCATACAAATATAGGTCTAGCACTGTGTGCTTGAGAAAGCCGCTGTGGCATAGCATATAGACACTTGTTTGCAGATCTGAAGGTTGTCAGTTTAAATCCTGACAGCTGGATGTTTTTATTTTTTTTTTTTAAATGAACTTGGCTCCCAGGTCCACCCAACCTTAAATCTGTAAGAGGTAAAGTCCCAGAAAATAAAGGCGGCGGACATGATGTTCTGAACAACATCCACAGAGTACCAGTTGAAATATAAAATGTAGATCTAGCCCTGAATGCCTCATACACCTGAAGGCACGGATAAAGAACTTTTACTTGATATATCAAAGTCATGAAAAACTTACTTTGCTTTATTATCTATAGTACTGTAGAGTTTAATGTATATATTCCTCCTTAATTGATTAATGTCTATTTTCTTATACGAGTGTGAGAGTTGGATTCTCACTGTGGAAATGGAAAGGGGGATTCAGGCTTTCAAATGTAAATGCTACAGGCGCATCTTACAAATTAGTTATTTAGAACACAAAACTAATAAATATGTCAAAGACAAAATATACAAATTTGCGGAACATCAGGAGCCTCTCTTGGCAGTGGTGAAACATCGCAAGCTAACTTGGTTTGGGCACGTAGTGAGACATGATTCGATTGCTAAGACTGTACATCAAGAAACATTGGGAGGTTGTCAGAGAAGAAAAGGGAAAAGAAGAACCTGGAATGACAGCATCAAGAAATGGACAGCACTAAGTTATTATACACTTATTCATGAAGAAGAAGACAGAGAAAGATGACTGGTTTTATGTGCTAGTGCTTCCATCAATACACCTCTACGACCCTAATGTGTCAAGGGTTATGTTACTTAATTGATTAATCGTCATTGTTTAACAGAGTGAAGCAGAAGCGCAGGAGAAAGAGAGGAGTAGACTACAACACGGAGATCCCATTTGAGAAGCGACCAGCTCTTGGATTTTACGATACAGCTAATGAGACCTATGACCCTTTGAACCCCAACTATAAACGTCTGCGACAGCAGAACTTTGATGGAGATCTTCGTAGAGATAAAGAAGAGGTAAGTCTTTGTGAGACCTTTAAAGACGTTAACACATCTGGTTTCTCTAAAAAAAAACAGTAAACAAATTTTCAGTTGAGGTACTGTTTCTAAAATACTAAGGCCTATCCCAGAAATAAGCTCTAGTCTGTATTTCACAGTTCCTCGTGCGGGTTCCAGGGCCCCATTCTGGGGAAGACAAAAATAAGCCACTTCTTCACCCCCAAAAGGCACGTTTTAGTAGTCGACTTATTGGGAGCTTCCTTTGAAGTCAGATTGCATCTGTACGAGCGGCAAGGAACAATGAACTGCACACAAATAAGCCAGTAAAATGGATATACACGCAGAACTCAAGTCCTTGCACAAAAATTATGTTTGGTTTTGAACCCAAGACCTTTAGTCATATCTAGCCACTGTAATACCTTGTGATTCCAGAGTTGGCACTGGGGGAGGGGTCTGGACTCCTGGCTCATTTCATGGAAATGTGTGCAGAGTTGATAATTTAGGCGAGGAGAGGAGTGGGTCTAAGTGTCCGATCAGGTTTCAGACTTGTGTAGGGTCCTAATCACTTTGGGACATGATTTCAGGGACTGGCCAGCTGGTGCTGCAGAATTAGAAGTTCAACAAATGATTCATGTCAATTCCTGCCTAGGTAATGTGATTGATGGCACTGTGTTGAAGGGCAGACGAAGTACATGGGGGTTCATAGCGAAGGCGAATGGACGTCGCTTGGTGCAACAAAACCTGGCAAATGATATTACAATGTCTAGTTTGAGAGTGGAGGCAGTTACTGCTACCTTTCGCTGGCTTAAGAATCAGCTATACACACATGCAGTCATTGTAACTGGCTCACAGAGTATCTTGAGAAAGGTGTAGACAGGCATGCTCCATGCAGAGTGGCAAGCATCACTTTAGATGTCCCAGGTAGTTAGCATCCTATGGATATTTTCTCCAGGATTATGTGTTGGGAAATGAGCAGGTGGATAGACTGGCCAGTTCTGAACTACTTCGGGGTGAACTGATGTATGACTCCCTTTGGGAGAAAGTGAACAGTGCCGAGGCACAGGTTGATCATTATAGTCTGAAGAGAATGGCACAGCGAGGAGTTACAGAGGGATTTGGCCGAAGCTCCGCACTCAGGTAAAAAGGCAAGATGGATAAACAATCAGAGAGTTGCTGGTATCATCAAAATTGGAACTTTGCTTGCTGCTGAAGATGGGGACGGAGCACATATGGGAGTGTCCCAAGTGCTGTGATGTCGATTCAACTTCTATCAGTGGGATCATACCCAACCAAGCCAGTTTACCACACACACAAAAATTCAGTTTTTAACCCTCTTAGCACGGACGGGCCGATTATCGGCCGGCGGATGTCTGGCCAAAAACACGGAGCGGCCGATGATCGGCCCGATCGTGTTTCACCCCGAACCGCTAAGAAATCTTCTATTTTGAAACACTGAAAGTGATTCATTCATATTAACTGCTGTATTAGCCTTTAGAAATGGCGACTTTCGAGTGTTTTGTATCGAAGTGAAAATTTTTGTTGAATTTTTTAGATAGTGACCTGAACCGCTAAAAGTACGTCTGACTCGTATGTTTCTGCCCCTAAACTTAATGTTGATAAAACATTTGAATCAAGTGATTACACTAATTCTGTTGATACTGATGCAGGATTTAGTGTTAGTAGTAATAGTGGGAATCAGATGGGGACGCTGTTGTGTTCAGACCACAGCCCAACCATGGCTCAGGGTATATGCACCCGAAGGTGTTGACACTCCGGCACATCCATTTCTTGTGCTGACTGATGGTGAAAAACACATGTCACCTAAAGATATTATTGCTGTTTCATATATATATATATACCTGTTTTTGACTATTGAATTGCTTACAACATTTGCAAAAAGGCCAAAGATCAATAAAAAGATTTCAAATAAAAAAAAATTTTGTTTTCAGTTTTATGTTTCAAGCATTGAAGTTGAAAATTCTAATTCAAATTTTCTATTTTAGATATGCAAATGAGATAATTTGCATATACATCAATTAATTTTGATATATGATTTCATGGGAGTCAGAATAACAGAAATCTGTCAAAAAAATTAAATAAAGTAATATGCAAATTTACTGAAAAAATGCTCCGTGTTTTTGGCTAGACCTCTGAAAAACTTCCCGTGCTAAAAGGGTTAAGTTTTCATGTTTGCTATTTCAATTTCAGAAAGAGAGAAAGAAAGACAAAATGAAACAGAAGAAGCGTAAAGAGAATGATTTGCCTGGAGCTATTGCCAGTCAAGGAAAGTAGGAGTCACTGTTTTATTTTTTCCTGAAAATTATCTAGTTGTTTTGTTTCTGTTCTCAGTTATTATCATGTCTCCCCCAAATGACATGTCTTCTGTTTTCAATTATAGTCATGTCTTCTATTTTCAGCCATTGCTTGTTGTATCTTCTATTTTCAGCTGTTGTCAGTTTTCTATTTTCAGCTGTTGTCGTGTGTTCCCTTTTAAATTAGTGTAGTATTGTAGCAAATGCACTTGGGAGGATAGAGTGTCAGTTTAAAAAAGGATTTGTTGGCACCCATGGGGTGATCTTTACTGCTCATGAAGGCACACTGAGTAGGATTCTGATTTACACTGACAACTTGAAAGTTTGTTTAGACTGGTTGCTCAGTATTCATATGGGTTTGGAAAGCAAGAGAAAACAGCCACATTATCCCCCCCCCCCCCCCCCCCCCCCCAACTCAAGACAGCCAAGTGAGGCTTTCAGATCAGGCAGATAATATCTGAATTAGGGAAGCAAGTGACCAGAAAAGAGGAAAATCAGGATTGAGGTCATGGATAAAAAGGCCAGCTCTGAGCTAATTTTAAATTACATACGGTGATTGCGGATAAAATTTTTTGACCACTTAAAGAGAATGCCTTGTGACTCCATAACATACAAGGGATACACCAAAAGAGAAGGACCTAGATCTCGGGACAGACCAAGAAAATGATGAAAAGATAACATCAGAGAAACTCTACAACAGCATGATAAGTCTATGGTCGAGTCAGCCAGAAGAACGAACGGGCATTATTTTTAAAGGGTCACAAATTGGGCATGCAGGCCTGTCTTACATTCAGCCCTTTTAAACACACGTCTTTCACGCTGAATTTCATTTATCTATATAAAATTTTGATTTTGTAATGCAGTTACTTGAGTACCATTTCCTAATTTGTGCTTTGCAGTGTTTTTCGTTTGCTGATAAATACTTGCTACAACAGTGTCTTTTGCTTGTTTATTATATTTTGTTCTATAAAGCTTATATATATATATATATTCTCACCCCCACCCCCTCCCATTTAAAAACATAATTCTTTACACCCTATTCTGTATTTAATTCAGAGAATCGGTAGATATTCTGAGATTGAAATTCTGCAAAATTTGTGTACAGTCTAATTTCCGCATATCTTCTTCTTCTCCTTCTTATTTGGTTCACTTGAAATAAATTATCTATATCTGCACTGTTGTCTCTAGTATGAACTTCACTGTCTTTTGTAATGTACTCAGCGACCCGTAAAGTTTGGCTTGCACCGATGTTTCTCTTGGCCAAAATTTTTTGCCCTGATATGTTTTTTTGGGCACAGTCTTGGAGGACATGATCTGTTGTCTCAGGTGCCAATCCACATGTGCACATGGCTGATTCGCCGATTTTAAATTTTGTTTCCATGTGGCTGCAAAGTCGATTGTGTCCTGTTATAAGGCGTAGAATAATAATTTGCTCTGGTCTGTATTTCCGCCATTGTTTTTAATGTTCTAACAGTTTGTTTATTTTCAGTCAGTGCTCTAACAATCTGTCCTAATTCCACCAGTGTTTCAAAAATATTTATTAACTTCCAATGGTGTTCTAATATTGGTAGTCCAGCTTGTGACTGTTCTAACAATGGTTGTCCAGCTTGTAACAGTGTTCTAACAATGGTTGTCCAGCTTGTAACAGTGTTCTAACAATGGTTGTCCAGCTTGTAACAGTGTTCTAACAATGGTTGTCCAGCTTGTGACTGTTCTAACAATGGTTGTCCAGCTTGTAACAGTGTTCTTACAATGATTGTCCAGCTTGTAACAGTGTTCTAGCAGTGGTTGTCCAGCTTGTAACAGTGTTCTAACAATGGTTGTCCAGCTTGTAACAGTGTTCTAACAATGGTTGTCCAGCTTGTAACAGTGTTCTAACAATGGTTGTCCAGCTTGTAACAGTGTTCTGGCAGTGGTTGTCCAGCTTGTAACAGTGTTCTGGCAGTGGTTGTCCAGCTTGTAACAGTGTTCTAACAATGGTTGTGAAGCATGTAACAGTGTTCTAACTATGGTTGTCTAGCATGTAACAGTGTTCTAACAATGGTTGTCCAGCTTGTAACAGTGTTCTAACTATGGTTGTCTAGCTTGTAACAGTGTTCTAACTATGGTTGTCCAGCTTGTAACAGTGTTCTAACTATGGTTGTCTAGCTTGTAACAGTGTTCTAACAATGGTTGTGAAGCATGTAACAGTGTTCTAACTATGGTTGTCTAGCTTGTAACAGTGTTCTAACTATGGTTGTCTAGCTTGTAACAGTGTTCTAACTATGGTTGTCTAGCTTGTAACAGTGTTCTAACTATGGTTGTCTAGCTTGTAACAGTGTTCTAACTATGGTTGTGAAGCATGTAACAGTGTTCTAACAATGGTTGTGAAGCATGTAACAGTGTTCTAACTATGGTTGTGAAGCATGTAACAGTGTTCTAACTATGGTTGTGAAGCATGTAACAGTGTTCTAACAATGGTTGTGAAGCATGTAAAGGTGTTCTAACTATGGTTGTGAAGCATGTAACAGTGTTCTAACAATGGTTGTGAAGCATGTAACAGTGTTCTAACAATGGTTGTGAAGCATGTAACAGTGTTCTAACTATGGTTGTGAAGCATGTAACAGTGTTCTAACAATGGTTGTCCAGCTTGTAACAGTGTTCTAACAATGGTTGTGAAGCATGTAACAGTGTTCTAACTATGGTTGTCCAGCTTGTAACAGTGTT